TTTTTTTGGGGTGAGGGGGTCCCAGCTCTGGCATGTCCCCCTCTCAGGTGGTCACCGTGCTGCGGGGACTGTCCCTGACCCTCATTCCTGCTCCAGAGGCTGCTTGGACATCACTGCTGGTGGCGTTTGGGGCTGGCACGGGTGCCCACAGTGTGGGTTTTTTTGGGGTGACGGGGTCCCAGCTCTGGCATGTTCCTCTCAGGTGGAAACGGGGTCACCGTGGTGTGAGGAGTGTCCCTGACCCTCATTCCTGCTCCCGAGGCTGCTTGGACATCACTGCTGGTGGCATTTGGGGCTGGCACGGGTACCCACAGTGTGAATTTTTTTGGGAAGCGGGGTCCCAGCTCTGGCATGTCCCCCTCTCAGGTGGTCACCGTGGTATGGGGAGTGTCCCTGACCCTCATTCTGGGGAGTGTCCCTGACCCTCAGTGCTTGGACATCACTGCTGGTGGCATTTGGGGCTGGCACGGGTGCCCACAGTGTGGAGTTTTTGGGGTGAGGGGGTCCCAGCTCTGGCATGTCCCCCTCAGGTGGGAGGGGGACACTGCTGAACTTTGGTTGTGCCCATCCATGAGCCCCTCCTGCACCTGGGACCCCTCCAGCCACCCCTGAGACCCCCAAAACCCACAATACCAACTTTTGGGGGGGTGAACGCTGCCTCTTTTCCCAGGGTGTCAAGGGCCACAAGAGTTCCTTGAGTGGCTCCTGGCTGTTCGTCCTGTCCCCATGGGAGCCCTTATCTCCTTTCCTGGCCCATGGCACCCTCTTGACCCAGCTCCTTAGGGTCAGGGTTTTTTGGGAAGCAGAGCTGCCGGCTATGAGCAACACGTGGAATTGTGCCATGTCCCTCCCGTTCCCAGCAAAGTGTCACCATCCCCAGAACTTTGACCCCGCTCTCTGCCCGTGGCAGTGATTTTGGGGACAATATTGAGTTTGAAACTCTGGAAAGGCCAAATCCATTTCCAGGGGTCTCTTTTTCCCCCCTCCCAGCCACGCTGCCCCTCTGATTTTCAGCGCAGCACTCGGAAGTGGCCCCAGAGGTTGGTCCCAGCTGGTGAGGGGGGCAAGAGGGGCTGGAATGGGTGGGAAAAAGAGAGGATGGGGATGGGAATTGGGGGAGCTGGAGCTGGAGCTGGTGGCTCTGGTGTCTGCGGGTCACCCTCGGGTCCCACTGGGGACGTGGCATGGTCCCTCTGTCCCCACCTGCACGAGGAGGGGACAGGCCAGGAGCTTTTCCTGAAGGTCTGGAGGAACAGAGGTTGCTCCTTCCTCCTCACCCTCATCCTCCAAACTGGGGGGCACTGGGGGGACAC